TAAGTCGGATAAGCAACATTGAAGAGGGGGAGTGGGGGATATGCAAGTAAATTCAAGTTTTAGGTGTTTGTTGTGATTTTTGCAAAGGTGGATTAAGTGTCCACATGAGTTTTGGCCAGGATTGTAGTTCATATTTCACAAATGGACGGGCAGTCAGTTCGTGCTTGGCTAGTCAGTCAGTCCGTGTTTGGCTAGTCAGTCAGTCCGTGCTTGGCCAGTCAGTCAGTCATTAATTTTCATATATTTTCCAGAAATAGCGCCACACAGACTATCTGGTTTAAAAATCGGAGATTTAAATGCAGAGACTCATCGACAACTTTGTAGAAAACTAAACATCGACGTTTCTGATAAAGATTGGAGAACTCTGGCAGGGCGCATGAAGTACACTACCCAACAAGTCAAAGAATTCGCTCAGGATGCAAATCCTGCAGACAAATTGTTGGACTGCTGGAGCACAGGCGAGGGACATGATGTTGCTTCCTTGATAGAACTCGTGAAAGGGATGAACAGGGATGATCTGGTTGAGTTACTGGAATCTGACCCCAACCCAACGAAATTTTATCTATGACAAATGGAAGGTTTCGAATGTTTTTTAAGGTACAATGAAAATCTAATATATTTTTCGACTTAACCTGGACACACCATGTATAATATGGGTATGTATATAACTAGATTTTGGACATCTTTGTTCGATAGATGGGTTTATTGTTGAGGTCTAAAAATGTAGATTTTTGGACGAGAATTCTATTTACAATCAACCCATGTACTGATTAGTTTTATCGAATGAAGATGCCCAATTTGTCGGTGTGGATGCACACTTAAGGCCCATTTACACGATGCGATTAGTTGTATACGATTCTTACTCTGGCGTATGTGATCGAATAAACACGCGTGCACAGAGTAGATAAGACCAGGGCGTAGTAAAACACGGGCGGTGAAACGCGCTAATATTTGCCTGATCCATGTGTGATGCACGGGAGACTGGCGCGAGCGTGCGAAATGCGCGGATCAAGCGGGATTTTTAAAGATGAAGCGAAGCAAAAACAAAAGACAAAAATATTTAAAGGGCAATCAAAAAGTGCAAATTTTTAAGGTAAATTTATCCTTAAAATGGAAAAAAATTAACTTGTTATAAAATAGAGACTCTGGCAATTAATTAGTATTGCAAATTACATCGCTGGAGTTGGAAAAGCATTTTTAA